ATTTCGTTAAGTACTGATGTAAATGTATTATTGAATTTCGTAATTTGTATCATAGTATATATAAACTGAATTGAACTCTATAAAATAAGCAGTTCCCAAACTGTTTTGGGTCACGCACCCTCAAAATAAAAAAATTAATTAAATAACGCCTTCCGTGAATAAATAAAATAACATTTTTTATTATTTAAATGTAAGAAATTTACTGTAGATCTAAAAATAAATATATGGTATTATCATAAACAATACAAATATTTTCTGTGTATCTTCCAATAAATGCATGCACTTCCCAATGGATACGTGTCCTACGGTTTGGGAAACGCTGCTCTATAGTATCTAACCTTTAAATAAGAAATTCCAAGAGCGTTTACGCAGCCGATACATATGTTGGTATACACGTTTTTTTTAAGGAAAACAAATGATGCATTTTATGCTTTTTTAAGATATAAAACAATATTAGCATTAAAAAAAAAAATATATATGAACCTTCTGTTATTTTTAAATTTTCCGTATACTCAAATCGTATTATGTAGACAAAAACAAATACCTACTGAATCGAAATTGCAACACTCAACTGTCTTGAAAAAACGTGAATAGTATCGGTTTATTTTTTAAATAAAATCATTATATATATATATATTTTTATTTTTTTTTTTTTGGGCAATTTAATTATTTAAATCGGTTATTTGAACATTAATTGTTATTTAAGCGTAAAAGCTCTTTGTTTAATTTAATTTAACTCGAATTACTCGAATTTTACTGACTAAATTTAAAATAAATTGATAATTTTATTCATAATACCATGAAAACTGTTGTCCTAACTTGTACTTGCTTGTGTACTCTTCAACATAATTCTACATCCAAGCTTTAAAAATTAATAGTTTAATATGTTTTGCTGCCCCATGCTTAAAAAACACTATATCATCTGTTAAGAATATTTATTTTTTAAATAAATAAGAAGTAAAAATAGGTACATCATGTTCAATAATAACTGTGAGTATTCAGAATTTATGAATATACTTTATTAACCTGCAACAGATGTTTAAAACACAATTTTTAATGAGGGTATAGTAGTACACAAAGAAATAAAAATCAACTACGCATAAAATAAGGTAAAATGATTTGTATAAAACAAATATGAAAACGTTTCAAGTTATTCATTAATTTATTTTAATGTTACTTTAATCTTAAAATCCAATTCACGAAGTATAAACATACATACATTTTATGTTAAGCTTTAAAATTTCCTAACACATTTTGTCTTATAACTCTATAAGAACGATTTAAAAATATTTTACCAACTATTTTATCATTTTACTGTGAAACATGATTTAAAACGTAATACTATGTAAAGCTTATTTAAATAAAAAATTTAAATCACATATTGTTGTTAAGTTATTTAATACTTGAAACGATATATGAGTAGTATATAGTATATGAATACATTCATACGTAAATATTTAACCAAAATGAAGAAAATCATTTTTCACACTTTGTATTCAATATTAATATTGTAGATAATTATCATTGTATAAATCTCAATTACTTGTACTCTAAATCGTACATTATATGAATTTATTTTATAAAAAGAAAATATTTGTAGAACATTATACGTCATCGAGCTTATAATTCGTTTGCACGAAATTTAAATCTGATACATATTATTTATTGCTTGATAATTATTTTTATCGTATATTATTATTATCCTTCTTTTTTTCAGTATTTGTTCTGTATTTATAACTTTGTTAACAAAACATTTTGAATCTGGCGATTCTTCAATAATTGAAAACCGTAGGCACATGATTTACTATTATCTCATACTCGGTAAAATTATTTAAATCTCTAATTATGTATGATCCGTGGGGTATTAACGGGGAGGCTTTCTGGGGGTTAAAACACCCCTCCAATATTTTTGTTTAGAATACTTTTCTTTATTGACATTACATGATAGAATTGTGGATATATAATAAAATATTTTAATATTGGATTAAAAATGCATTAACGTATATATGTAAATCTCTAACTTGATTCTGCATCAACTGCACAAAAAAAAAGATAATTGTCTTCATTAAAAAGGATAGACTTATCTTCGTAATACTATGTGCCAAGTAGGTCTGTTTTTTTATTTTACTAAGACTAAATAATAATTATAAAATGTAATTAATTTATAATTGTTTTCTCTAGAAAAGACTTAATGGGTTATCAATCAATCAAAAGGATCTCACTGAAAGCAATCAAGTACTAGACGAATTGGCATTTAAAAAAAAACGTCTTCCTTTAACACTGTAAAATTAATTAATACATTTATGCAAAGTTTGATAAATCAATTTGTAAAATTACCTACTGAAATGAAATAAGTTAATGTTTTATTCAGTCCAACTTTTCATATTTTTTCCAGATATATTTATAGTCAATAATTAAAATAGTAATCCTATGTTTTTTAAATTTTTTTTTTTAAGAAAATTACCATTTTTATGTTTTATATCATTGAGTTATTAATATAAGTCCATATAAAACTATAGAAGTATAACTGCTACCACTCACTAATGAAACTTTATATTGATATTTGTATTGCTTTAATGTAATAGGTAGTTGATTATGAATTATAACAATTTTCAACAAATATTATTTACAATAAAAATATTTTGAGTACTTATTATGATAAAATAAAGCTTGCTAAATGACTGTGATTAAACTATTATGGTTAGAGTTCAATATAAGAAATTCATCACTGATTGAAAATCCAATAGTAAAAACATCAGTCTTTAACTAACCATGTGCCTCGTGGATCATCTTAAACTGCATTAGAAACGAGTAAGGAAAATCCAACAACCTACCTATTAAAAAAATGTAGGATGGTGAAATCCTCTATATATGGTTATGGTCCAGAAAAATTTTCAGGCACATAGTTAACTTACGCCCACTAGCAATATTCTCGGGAGGGTTTGGAGAATTTCACTGTGCCAGCGCTGACATCATTAAATTGATGGAAAGATTAGAAGTGCTACTATGAACTAGCGGCTAATTAAGAGTTACTATGATACAGAATTATAATTATTATGCAAAGAAAACCATTTTTTGTAAATAATTCTAGTTAAACCAGAAGATTTTAGGATGATAAATTATTTTGGATTATATTGCAAGCCAATTAGGTGACAAATTACAAAGCTTTATTTTTTCAAAGAATTACATTACGATCTGCGGAAACTGTGTAGGCACTGGGATCTGATCAGGGTTTTTTCTAAGTGAACTTGAACCAAAATTATAATAAAAAGCGGTATGTTTGCAGAAAAAAAAAAAATAATGTACAATTCAAAACGGCACAATATCTTTGCATATACAAATAAACAATGTGACTACGAGTATTATTAATTCGGCTTAAAATAAATAAAACATTTGCAGGTAATTCATGAAATTCCTAGTTAATTCATAAAATAATGGAATTAAATACTTTAACTGTAATATATATATTATATAATTTTATAGAACAGAATATAATCATTGATTAAATCAAAGTAATTTAAACATGCTACAATTTATAAATAATATTTGATATCGTTTAATTTTTTTATCAATGTTTTTGAGTGAAATGTATAGTTAAAAATACTAATACAAAATTTTAACAATAAATAATACGTTTTTAAACTAAAATTTTAAATAATTTCAACCAATTTTCAATTATAATTTATCATTGTAAATTATGCATATATATAGTTACTGTAATCCAAGAACTTTTTCAATTAACTACTTGACACTGCATACGCATTAAATTATGACGGGTTAAAAAAAAAATGAATTACTATTATAATGAAATATTTAAACATTTTTTTTTAAGTATCTACCTAGTTTATTTACTGGTGGTAATAAATGTATACTTAAATTTAAAATATGGTAAAAAACATATGGTATCGATTATTATTATTATTTTTTTTTTGCAGTATAAGAATAGGTAATAAAAAAAAAAAATAATAACTAAAATTTAAAATCGATAAAATCTATGACAATAAATAAATAAAATTCTCTAAATCAATAACGCATAACGCAGTATAATATAAACAAACCGAAAGCGTTATAATAATAATTAACCACCTGATGTACCCAGAATAAAGTATATATTATGTACACAAATAACTTTTAACACTGTAAAACATCGATTTTTCTTTTCTCTTTAGTATTTTAGTACGAGTTATGAGCTAGTTGGTAATTTATATTATAATATACCAACTAACTCATAATATATTGAATAGGTAATCATTAAAAATTACTTTACAATAAAAACGAAAACCATCTCAACTGCAAACGCATTTAACGAGATAGTTATAGTGATATTACAGTTCCAACACGATCTTTTTTTCTCACTAGCTTCTTGGAATTAGTAAATTTAAATTTCGTATAACAATATAATACTGTAACTTGTATACTTGTATACACTTTGAAGAATAGTAATAAAATATATGTTCATATAACATATCAAATATGTTTATATGAGTTGTAAAATAAATAAGAACTTAACAATTTATATTAATTTTGACTTCATTAAATTATATTTCCAAAATTTTATTTATTTATTTATTTTTTTTTTGAAAAGAAATTATTTATTTATTTTATAGTGTTATGGAAATTGAAAGTACTCCAAATGGTTTTCTTTCGATAAAATATTTTCAATAACCAGCACCGAAGTTTTGAAAATAAACTCGTTTATTACATACTATGGAATAAACAATATGTTATAACATTGTATTTTCTATAATCGTTTAGTTACAACGTACAGTTGAAATATGAAACTGAAAAATATATAAATGATAAGAAAATTTATTTCTTTAAATTGATTCTACTCGATATATCAAAAACACGAAACAATTCGAATTTGTTATGATTCCCTAGAAATTCAAAATGTTGAAAATCTTCTGAACATAATTCACAATTCTGAAAAACTCTAACGTTGAATACTAATACATTGTGTATACGTATTATCTATTATAAATAAGTCTCCAGAATTTTACCTGGAATTTGTGACGTATTGTTGGTGTTATAATCTGTACCATCAAATGTATCCTAAAAACCAATTTTGTAAACAATCATAATATGTAGTGATTAATATTATTTTTATAAAAAAATATTTAAACTATACCACTGTCATGTTTGAAACGGAATTTGCATTTTGTAAATCGACCTGCAGATTTCTCCTTTTTTGACTGTGTATTCGATGGATTGCTCTCAACCATAGTTCTCTGAAATACAAGGAAATGATGATTAATATTAAATAATAAGTAGTTAATGATTAGTATAGTACGACAGAAATATCCATATTGATTTAAAATTAATTATTTTACCGATACATGCAATTTTCATAAATTTTTCAAATAATTTATATCAATATACGAAATAATATTTTCGTATTATACAAGAAAAAGTAGAAGAAATATACAACCAATTTATTATCATTATAATAATGTACCCTTAATATACTACTCTTTTGCGTACACTTGATGTTAAAATATAAACTTAAAGTATGGTATATTTTAAATATACTTAACATTGTTTTCACGCATTATCCAAGGTTCAATTAAAACTTAGTCGAATAGGAAAACAATAAATATAGTGGATATATCACAGTAGACACACATTTAAGCACTTTTTATTTGTTTTATCTTTTGCATTTAAAAGTATCAACATTTTGGACTTCTTATTTCATCTTTATAACGTTTTTATTTATTTATTTTATTTTATTTTTTTTTTACCATAAGTAAACCTATCAAAAAAGGAATTTTTTAAAAGTCCTGTTTAACTACTGATGGGAAATAAGTTTAAAGAAATGTATACCATAGTAATAATACCAAAGACGAATCTAGAGGGACGGGTCAGAAGGTTAGCTAACACACAGTTAATATTTGTTGACAAACTCGGCCTCCCGAAGACTTCTTATATTTTTTAAGTATTTCAACAATAAATTTAAATTAATACTAGACTGGAGCAAATTCCTCAGTTGCCACCCAAATGATGTCACTATGCATTGAAAAGTAAAACATCTCTATACCATATCACGTATAAAACCAAATCCTCCATAAAACAAAATAAATTTTAATATTTTTAATGATAATTATGAATGAACTTAAAAACAGTTTGTTACAAGGTGAACTTTATAAATTAATTTCAGTTCTAGTAAGTGGCCTTAAGATATAGCCCAACCTATAATTTTCAAGCCTTGAATTCGCCTCTGTACGACAGTAACAGTATCGTTACATTAAAATACATAAGAATGTCACTTAAAAAAATTTTTGAATTCAAATTTTATTAATTTTTTTAATAAATTTATATATTTTATATATAAAATATATTTATATTTTTCTTATTTTTTTATTGTAGTTTAACATTATATATCATCAACATGCTCTTAGCTATTCGTGAACTTTCATAATAAAAACAAATTTATATCACTATAAAATGTTAAAAAGATAAAACGAACAACAGTATAATACAAAGCATATAATATGCTTACCTTAAAAATGTAAATAATAAAATATTTTTACAAACTTAAATTTAATTATCAATACTATAACTTGACTTGATACGTTGACCAAGTTGTTGTTTTACTTGAATGATAAAGGATATGCAGATATACAATATAGTTTATATCTATACTCGTGCTTATTTCCATTCATTATATATATTGTATACAGTGTCGATACGGTTAACCTCATCAAAGCAGCTAGGCAGCTATTGCTGCCTGGACCCCGAGCTTTTTATTTTAATCAATATACTAAAACACACACACACACACACACACATTATATGAGTACATTATAATTTATAAATATTCGACACAGCAACAAATTATCGAATTATTTCCTTTAAATTCAGTTGCGATTAATGTATTGAAAATTTTTTTAATCACTATGTTTTTTCTCATCACGCGTAAGAAGTTAAAACCGTAGGAAAATTTTGAAACAAATGATCATTATAATAATATTTATTGGAACTCAAGGTATTAATTACAGAAAATAGGATAAAGGATACTTATTCATTAGTGAATTGAACTCAAAATCATGGCATTATTTTAGGAACGTGAAATGTTTTTGGTAAAATACAATAGCATAGTCAATAATCACACTAAAAATCTATAAAATCATGTCAAATAATAAAAATAATAAAGTTCGATGGTCACTAGTTACATTTATTTCAAAACATTTTATTAATAATAAAATAATTACGCACATTAGTTATTTAATTTAAAATAATATTGTAAAAGTTCATACTTATAATTATTTCTCTATAATGATCGACAGTATACCCAAGACATAAGTGTTTTGGATCAACTTGTAATTTAACTTCGTGACATTGTAAATGACTTGATACAAAAAAGATTACTTATTTAAATTGTTTGCAAGAATTTTACCAGAATTATACAACTTATTGGAAATATTATTCCGATCATTGGATCGTTTATTATAAAATATAACAGTCTATATCTAAAAACATCAGACTTCAATTACATTAAAAACTAAAATATCCTTTATACTTATTTCATGAATCAAAACTTAAAATTATGACAATACTTCAGGACAAGGAATTATCTTTAATCATTAATATTTATAATTTTTCAATCTTAGAAAATAATACTATTTATAATAAAAAATTTGTTAAATTTTTTTATTTTTTAATTGGGATCTTACAAGCAAACTTTAACAATTCTACCAAGTTCATGGCTAATTATTTTAGAGAAATTGTTAAATTTTTAAACTATTTAATATTTTCTGTGATTATTCCACTCTCTGTGAATCTCCAAAAAAACAATATCACTCAACTATGCATAAGCTTAATCAACGCTTACAACATTTAAAATCAAATTTAAAAAACGTAATGTTGATAGAAATTATTTTTTGTATATAAAATGTAAAGATTTTTTAAAATAAATAAACAAGAGCATTTCGAAGAATAATAAAATATTTAGATAAAATACTTTTGATAATATACAAAATATTAATCCATTGCTGTAAAATATTATCTTTTTTAAATTATTGATAGCATACTTGATAGTATTGAATTAAGGTTTATTCCAAATGTGGGTATATTAACAAATTGAAGTTGGTTGGATTTAAAAAATTGTTGAGATTGTGAAACTCATATAATAAAATAAATATAAATAATAAAAAATTAGTATTATAATTTATTTTATAAAGTTTAAAGATATACAAATTGAATAATATAGAGCTTGTAGAAGTTTAAAATTAATTTAAATTTATAATATGATTTAATTTATCTAATTGACACAAATATGAATAAAGAAATCAATAATTTACGAGTAGTTGGGTAGGTTGACCACTTAAAAATCTCTTATACCCTGCCTGGGCCCTTTGACGACAAGGCCAACACCGATTGTATAATACATTTATGTGGGTAACTATAATTAAACAAATAAAAAGGTATGGATTCTGTTTTCCTCTAATTGTTTTTATTTCTTAAATTATGTTATTTTTGCTTCAAATATTAAAATATTTTGCTGGTCCCGATATTAGCTAACTTCTTTTTATTCATAAATATACATTTTTGCCAATTATTTAATTTGTATCAAACATAAACATTACCTATTTTTATGAATTTAAACACATGTTTGCCAATTATTTAATTTATATTAAACATAAACATAGCTTATTTTTATTCTTAATTTTCTTATTGGTAGAAAATGGAAAGTAGAGAAAAATAGTCAAGAATTATTTTTTTTTTTTTTTTGGAAAATGGACAATAAAGGATAAGGATATCACATTTTTAGAGCAAAAATGCCACGATTCTTAAAAAGTATATACGACAGACTGCATTTGGGAAATTCGTAACTTTAACCAATAAAAAAATAAATAAATATATCTTTTACCCATCTGACCACGATGTATCATGAAAATGTGCAATCCAAAAATGCGTATTATGATTTAATACCTGTAAAGTAGTTACACGTACATAGTATGAGACTAGCGTATTATAAATATTTTTAAACGTCTATTATTAGAATCTACGTGTGCTATTAATAGACGTGCATTCTGTATATTCGAATTAAAATTGTTTTTATTTATACACTTGTAGCTAACGGACTTCGGTCTAGGTAATGGCAATATTATTGTGTTAACGCGTTATCGCTGGTCACACCGTACACGTTTCTCACCGTTTATTCGTGTATGGTACTCATGTATCGGGGTTGTTAGGGTAACGGGACATATTTTCGTTAAACACGGCGGGGTTGCCTTGTATTTTGTATATAAATGTGAGAGGTGTATATTATACGGACAATATTACAAGCGCAATTCATTTTACAAATAAAATCTTACAATAATTATGAAGTAAAGTTATTTTAAAGAAACATGATTTGCAAGAATTAATAATATATATTTTTAATTTATTTAAAATATCATACATCAGAGTACATTAATGATTTATATTTTTATTAAGTGGACTTATCCCAGTAACTGTTTGCTCATAATTAGAGCAGTGAAGTTATTGCATTAAAAACTCACTAAATTGATTGCATTATTGCATTAAATTATATTAAAAATTGCATTGAAAAAATTTAATTATAATCAATAAAATCAAATATATTTGATACGTATATACTTAATACATAGTCATAATAAAAATTAAATATGAAAATTGCTTATATTGTTTAATTGCACAACAAATGATTTTTAAGTTTTCAAAATCGAATGATCGTCTGTTATCGTACAACAAATTTTTATATCGGAGAAACTTCTTTTCACGTCAATAGTTGTTATTGGGGCGTACTTGAAGCAGATTAAATCGTTGTGGGTCAAGTTTTCTGGCAAGCTCTCCATTGACTGTATTTCTCCACTTATAATTTTTAATATACGAAAAATTGTTTGATATCCTATATTTTTTTGTAAAATAGTTTTAAATTTCTAGTTTATTAATATCTACAAATCTAATACATACAAATATTACAAAAAATAATTAAAATTACAGTAAAATTAAAAAAAAATCGCCAAAATTGCATTTATTGTAATATAATTTCTTTTTTTTTTTTAAATAAGAGTTTAACGAAATATATTTTAAGTTCATTCAGCAATAAATATAAGCATTTACAAAAAACATGCAAATGCAACACTTCACTGCCCTACTCATAATAAACGTGTTTGTTTTCCCAATTATATTTTCAAAAGAAAATTGAAATTTATTATTAATTAGATGACCAAATAGTAGGATTTTCAATTCCCGTTTAAAAATTTAC